CTTACAGTGACTGTGGCCTGGGTAACCCAGCAACTTCTCTGCTAGGCAGTGGGCTGCAACCACACCTTCTTCAATGAGGTCCAAATCTCCTTCCAAGTTTATCCTTACCTGGGTATTCTCCCTCTGCCCTAGAATATATTTTGAGTTCTGTTTCCATCTTTGTAGTTACTCTCCTATCACTGTTTAACAGTTCTTTATATTAAACTTCCCCTATTTAATCTACTATGTGATTCATTTCCTAGTTGGACCCAGACTGATACAGTAACCTTGGGCAAATTACTAAATCTCTTCTGTATTTCAGTTTCCTTATCTGTGAAATGGGGATAAAAGTAGTGTCCTCAAAAGGTAACTGTGAGAACTAAATGACTGAATATATATAAACTACTGGAGAACAATGCATGGTATGTAACAGTCACCCAATGAACAATAGTTATTATTATTGGGTTATTCAAGATTATGTAGGGACAATTTGTTGGTTATTTCAGGAAAAAAATGCATTAAAGAAGTAAATGAAAAATAAATTATAAGTGTATTAGAAGAAAATATAGGTGACTATACTTATAATTATGAGAGAAACCTTAGGAAATGCAAAATACAAAAGCCACAAAAGAACAGTAAGTTTGACAAAAATTTTAAATTCTAATATAATAAAGCACATTGTAAGTAAAGTTAAAAGGCAAGCCACAAGAGATATGGAACAGTCAGTTCACAGAGAAATGCTAATGGCCTTTAAACATATGAAATTTCATTACCAATAAAATTTCATAATGAAAGAAATTAAAATTAAAATTAAAACTAATTGATACACTATTTCTTACCTATCACAGAAACCAGAAAGGATAAAGACTGGAACAAGTGAATAACCAAACTGACCAAACTGGCACATATAGAACATGCACCCAACAGCTACAAAATATATACTCTTTTAAAGTTCACATGGAATGCTTAACAAACATAGCATAAACTGGGCTATAAAGCAAGTTTCAAAAAGCTTCAAGGGACTGGAATCGTATAGAGGATGTTCTCTGACCACAGTGAAATTAAACTAGAAATCAAAAAAAAAAAAAAGCTAACTAAAAAGTCCTTAGGTAAATAAATTTGACAACTCCTATGAAAAAGACAAATTCCTTTACAAACACCCATGAGAGAAAAATATAATCTTATAATTGTTAAAGAAATTGAATCCATTTTTTTAAACTTCCCACAAAGAAAACTCCACTAACTTAGAATAACTAATGAATTCTCAGAAGAAATCATTCCAATCATGTGCAAATTCTTTCAAAGAGGAAAAATAATCCCCAATTCATTTTGTGAGGTCAGCCATAACATGATTCCAAAACCTGAAAATAATATTACAAGAAAGATAAATCAAGGCCAATCTATTACATGAACATAGATGTCAAAATCTTAAACATCAACAACTTAAATCCAGCAGAATATAAAAAGATAAAAATATGACCGAGAAGACTTTATGCCAAGAAGGGAACATTCAAAAATCAATCACAAATTTCATCATATTTAACAAAATAAAGGAGAAAAATCTTCATCTCAACAGACACAGAAAAGCATTTAATGATAATTTAATATACCCATTTATAATAAAAACTATCAGCAAACTAAGATTAGAAGGGAACTTCCTCAATCTGATAAAGTGTATCTATGACAGTCCAAAAGCTAGCAGAGGATATAGAATGGTGAAATATTTAATGCTCTCCTTCTAAGATCAGGAACAAAGCAAGGATGTACACTAACACCACTTATATTCAACATTGCACTGAATGTCATGGCCAAATGAAAAGTTTACAGATTGGAAAGGACAAAGCAAAGTTGCATGAGTCATAGGTAATATAACTGTGTATATAGAAATTCCATGGGAACCTATTTTTTCAAATGCTAGAATAAGTGATGGAATAACTTCACCAAGGCTAGTGAATTCAAAGCCAATATACAAAATTCAATTATATTTTTAAATTTAATAAAACAATTAGATATTGACATTTTAAACATATATACTTTATAATAACATCAAAAAACTAAGTATCTAGAATAAATCTAATAAAAGATACACATGACATTTATACTGAAAACCATAAAACAATGCTGAGAAAAGAAAGAGTAATGTTTATGTAAATATACATATTCTATGTTTGTGGGCTGGAATATTCAATATTGTTAAGACATCAATTGTCCACAAATGATTCTATATATTCAATGCAATACCAACCAAAATCCCAGCAGGGTTTTATTATGGACATTGACAAGCTGACTCAAAAATTTTATGAAAATGGTCAAACACCTAGAATAGCGAATATAATCTTAAAGAAAAAAAAAAGGAAGTTAAAAATCTTATACTACCAGGCATCAAGAATATACATACATATCAGCAGATATAAAGAATATAAAGCTACAGTAATCAAGCAGTATGGCACTGGCAATAAATAGGACAATGGAATAGAATAGGGGATACAGAAACAAGCCATTGCACGTATAGTCAGTCACCTGATTTGCCAACACAGTTATGTGAGAAGAACACTGTCCTTTCTATTGACAATGGCAATGAACCATTTGGATATCCGTAAGAGAAAAAAAAGTAATGTCAGCTCCTATCTCACATACACTAAAATTAATCTGAGCTTGATAACAGAGCTAAATGTGAAGGGTAAAAAATAATAGAACTAAACAAAAACAAAAACAAAAAACCTATTAGGGATGCCTGGTGGGCTCAGTCAGGAGAGCATGTGACTCTTGATCTCCAGGTCATGAGTTCAAGCCCCACACTGGGTGTAAAGCTTAACCCAGAACTATTAAAAGAAAACAATGGAGACAATCTTCATAACTTTGGGTAGACAAAGATTTCTTAAATAAAATATTTAAAAAATAACCATAAAATAAAAGGTTGGTAATTTAAACTACGTAAGAGTTAAAAACTTCAGTTCATCAGAAGATGGCATTAAAAGAGTGAAAAGGTGATCCACAGACTAGGAGGAGATATACATAATACAGTATCTGACAAGGGATCTATATCTAAAATATATAAAGTATTTGAACAAATCAATGAAAAAAGATAGTCCAATAAAAAATATGCAAAAGAATTTTGAACATACACTGCACAACAAGAATATCTAAATGGCCAATAGATATATCAAAAGGTTCTCAGTATCATTAGTCACCAGAGAAACTCAAATTAAAACAATAATGCCACTGCACACATACCAAAACAGATGAATTTCATTTTTTTTAAAGATTTTATTCATTTATAAGAGAGAGAGAGAGCACAAGCAGGGGGAGTGGCAGGCAGAGGGAAGGGAGAAGCAGGCTCCCCACCAAGCAGGGAGTCCAATGTGGGGCTCGATCCCAGGATCCTGGGATCATGATTTGAGCCAAAGGCAGACGCTTAACCAACTGAGCCACCCAGGCACCCCAAAATGGATGAATTTTAAAAAGAATAGCAATACCAAATGTTGGCCCTGGTGTAGAGTAATTAAAATGCTCATACACTGCTGGTGGGAGTATAGATTGTTAACAACTACTTTTGAAAACTGTCCAGCAGTATCAACTAAAGCAAAGCACATTATGTACCTAAACTTATCATCTAGTATAATGTTGAACAGAAGTGATGAGAGTGAACACTGCTATATTATCCCTGATCTTAAGGATAGGATCTTAATGATAAACCTATCATTCCAAATCTTAGGTTTATAACCAAGAGAATTAAGTACATATGTCTATCAAAGACATGTACAAGAATATTCATTGGAGCAGTCAAAAACTAGAAACTATTCAAATATCCTCTAAAGGAGAACAGATAATTTATTATATATTATATATTCATGCAATAAAATACTACTAAGTAATAAAAAGAAAAAATTACTGTGACACAAAACATGGGTCAATCTCACAGGCATATTATTAAGCAAAAAAAAAAAAAAAAAAAAAAAACAACCAGACACAGAGGTGTATGATTCCACTCATATAAATTTCAGGAATAAGCAAATTAATCTATGGTACTTAAAGTCAAAATTAAGGGAGAACAGGAGGAGGAGGGAAGGCAGAAGCAGAGTGTAAGAGGTATGGACTAGGAAGAGGCATAAAGAACTCTTCCGGGATTATAGAAATGTTCTGTATTTTTTTAAGATTTTATTTATTTATTTTAGAGAGAGAGAGCATGCACAAACTGGGGAGGAAGAGGAACAAGCAGACTCCATGCTAGTGCGGAGCGAGGAACCCAATGCGGGGCTAGATCCTAGGACCCTGAGATCATAACCTGAACTGAAATCAAGAGTCTGATGCTCAACCAACGGAGCCACCCAGGCACCCTGTAAATGTTCTGTATTTTGACATGGAAATGTTTTATAGCTTGACCTGGGTAATGGTTTACATAGCTGTATACATTTAAAAATTCATGCAGCTTTATAATTAAAATATGTGCATTTCATGTGTATTTGTAAAATATTAGATATATCTTATATGTACTGGTGTGGGAAAAATCTCTAAAACATCCTATTTAAAGAAAAAAAGTTTCATAATAATATGTACATATATTTTTTAAAAAATACATGTGTGAAACTGTGTTTCTATTACATAAAAATATAGATAAATGCACTGTATTTTACTGGTTAAACCCCTCCAAGGAGAAAGGGATGAGAAAGAAAGATTTGGAAGAGCAACAGCAAATTTTATTTACATCATTTGAATTTTCTAACAAAAAAAATATATTATTTGTGTATTTCAAATCATAAAATTAATAGAATATGCTAACTCACAGGTTAAATGTCTATAATTTCAAGAAGATGGAGGAGAATGATCAACCTCTAACAAAGACTTGAACATAAGCTTTTTTACAAAATAGTAAAATTTTTTACAAAATTGAGAGCAATGTTGTTCTCAATACTACTCCAAGCAAGAATGGTAGAAAACACTAGATTGACTAAGTCTTTAGGAGGCATCATATAGTAATATTCATAGTTCTTTAGAGAACAGAGATGTGTTATAATGTCCACATACCACTCAGTGCTCCAACAGCTCCAAAATTTAAGGATTTTCCATCCATTATGCTGGCATCACACTCAATTTCACCCAAGAGATTTAGATTAGATCCCATTCCTGCATTTGTAAAAGGAGAATCCTAAGAGATAAAAACAAAAATTAAAATACCGTTAGTCTTAAAGAAGATTTAATGTCAATCCTTTATAACTGTTCCAAAAACTAGAAAGGGAAAGAACACTCTCAATTCCTTGCATGATACCAGTACTTCCCTGATTCCAAAACAAGACAAAGACATCATGACGGAAGAAAACTACAGGCTAGTATATCTTGAGACTATAGACACAAAAATCCTCAAGAAAATGCTAGCAAACCAAATGCAGCAAAACATAAAAGTCTTATACACCATGAACAAGAAGGATCCCAGGGAAGCACGTTTGGTTTTAATATGTGAAACTTAATGTGATACACCATGTTAATAAAGAAAAAAATAAAGAAAATAAACTAAATAGAAAAAACAGGATCATACTAATAAACACAAAAAAAGCATTTAACAAAATCCAATACCCTTTCATGAGAAAAGCACTCAACAAACTAGAAACAGAAGGGAACTTCCTATATATGATATTATAAAGGACATCTACAAAAAGTCCAGAGTGAACATCGTAATTAATGGTGAAAAACTGAATGTTTTCCCTTAAGATCAGGGATAATACAGCAATGTTCACTCTCGTCACTTCTATTCAACATTATACTGGATATTCTGGACAAAACAATTAGGCAAGAAAAAGAAATAATGAGCGTCTACATTAGAAAAGAAAAAGTAAAATTATCTCTTGGTAGAAGAGGACATGATCTTGTATACAAAAACTCCTAAGGACTCCACTAAAAAACTATTAGGACTGATAAATAAGTTCAACAGGGTTTCAAGATATAAGATCAATATACAAAAATCAACTGTTATTTCTACATATTAGCAATGAACAATGTGAAGATGAAATTCAGAAAACAATTCCACTTACAATAACATCAAAAAGAATAAAATACTTAGGAATAAATTCAACAAAAGAAGTAGAAGATTTATACACTGAAAACTATAAAACATGTTAAGAAAAAATTAAAGACCTAAATAAATATAAGGACAGTCATGTACATAGATCAAAAGGTTTAATATCTTTAAGACAGCAATACTCTACAAAATTGATCAGCTTCAACACAATCTCATATCAAATCCTAACTACGTTTTTTGCAGAAATTGACAAACTAACCCTGAAGTTCATAAGGAAATGCAAGGAACTCAGAATCACAAAAATAATCTTCAAAAGAAAAATAAAATCGGAGGGTTCACACTTCTAAGTTTTATAACTTACTACACAACTACAGTAATCAAGACTGTGTGATATAGCTAAGGACAGACATATAGATCAATGCAATAGAACTGAGTGTCCAGATACAAGCGTTATATTTATGGTCAATTCAACAACGATGCCAGAACAATTCAATAAACAAAGGATAGTCTTTTCTATAAGTGGAGCTGGGACTATGGATATTCAATCCAAGAGAACAAAGTTGGATTCTATCTCATACCATATACAAAAATTAACTCCAAGTGGATCAAAGGCCTAAATATGAGTTAAAACTATAAAACCATTCAAAGAAAACATTAGGGCAAATGTTTATGACCTCGGATTAGGCAGTGGTTTCCTAGATATGAAACTAAAAGCACAAGCAACCAAAGAAAAAACTAGAATTTGGATGTCATCAAATTAAAACTTTTGAGTTTTAAAGTATACAATAAAAGTAAAATAAAAAAAAAACTCAGAATGGGGGCAGGGGGACTGTAAATTGTTTATCCATAAGAAATTTGTATCCAGGATATATAAAAATTTCCCACAATTCTAAAATAAAAATACAATTTTAAAATGGATAAAGGATATGAATGAACATTTCTCCAAAGAAGGTATATAAATGGCCAATAAGCACATGAAAAGATGCTCAACACCATTACTCATCAAGGAAGGGCAAATCAAAACCACAACAAACTACTACTTCACACCCACAATTCCACTTAAAATAACATCAAAAAGAATCATAAAGACAGATGTGTTGGCAAGGATATAAAGAAATTAGAACCCTTACACATTGCTGATGGGAATGTAAAATGGTACAGCCACTTTGGAAAACATCTGGAAACCCCTCAAAAACTTAAACATAAAGTTACCATTTGACCCAACAGTTCCACTTCTAGGTATATACCCAAGAGAAGTGAATTGTCTACACAAAACTTGTACCCATATATTCACAACAGCTTGTAATACTCATATGCCAGCATTTCTGGAACAACTCAAATGCCCACCAACTGATGAATGGGTAAGTAAAACATGGTATATCTATACAATGGAGTATTAATCAGAAATAAAAAGTAATGAAGTACTGATGTATGGCAAAATATGGATGAACCTTAAAAACATAATGCTAATCAAAGAAGTCAGTCACAAAAGATCACATACCAGATGATCCAATTTATATGAAACTTCAAGAAAGGCAAATCCATAAAGTAGATTAGTGATTGCCAGGAGTTGCAGAAGGGGGAATGGGGAGTGACAGCTAATATGTACTGTGTTTCTTTTTGTGGTGATTCAGATGAAATAAAAGTAGATGGTGTGACAGCTGCAGAACTTTATGAAAATACTAAAAACAAGTGAAATGTATACTATAAAAGTGAATTTTACAGTATATGAATTATATCTTTAAAAAGATATCATGAAAGGGGCACCTGGGCTGCCCAGTTGTTTGAGCATCCGACTCTTGATTTCGGCTCAGGTCATAATCTCAGGATTGTGAGATCAAGCCCCACATCAGACTCCACACTAAGCATGGAGCCTGCTTGAGATTCTCTCCCTCTCCCCCCTTCTCTCTCTCTCTCTCTAATAAATAAAATCTTTTTAAAAAATAAATAAATAAATAAAAAGATACCATGAAGGAAAAAAAAAGCTTGTATCAGCAGACTACACAGAACACAAAGGCCTGGTATCAGAAGGGCACACAATGTGATGAGCACTGGGTCATATATGCAACTAATGAATAACTGAACATTACATCAAAAACTAATGATGAATTATATGTTAGCTAATTGAATTTAAATTTAAAAAATGAAAAAAAAGAAGTCAGCCATGTATTTGCAATCTAAAAGAAAGACACTTATTTTTCTAATACTGCGAATAAAGTTTTTAAAAATATATACCACTAGTCTTGTTATGTCAATATAATACCATACATGATTTCCAACCACAGATATGGAAAAAAAATCTAACGATATAAAATCTTACAATAAAATAAACATCATGGGGACAAACTCCCAAAAGACTTCATAAAAAAAAAAGAAGAAGAAGAAGAAGAAGAGAAAGAAAAAGAGCCGGGGTTGGAAAGATTAGATTGACGCTCCTTAGAGTCACTGCACAGATTAAAGGCCTACTCCAAAATAAAGGCCATAAAAATGAACAACTCTACCTCACATTCTAGAAAACTGAGTCAATCCAGAAAACTAACTCTGTTCTAAGGTAAGACCTTAGGTCTTACCAAGATCCAAGAAACCTGACCACAATATTAAACCTTCTTAATATGTACCTATAACTAGAGCAAAGGGGTCAGGGATTGGAGAACAGAGCTTTTGTCCTAATGCAGTTAAATAACCGAACAGTCCACAGAATTTTAAAAATAAGATCACAGGATGGAAAAAAAAAAAGGCTATATAATTATATAGAAATGAGTTAATAATGAGATAATAAATGCTTTCAGCACCAAAAGGAAATGGCCCACTATGAGACAGAGAAGTTAACAGCAGGCTTCCTGAACACAGCCAGGAAGCTAGAAAATTCCAGTTGGTGGAAACGATGTGAGCAACATATAGGCAATGGGAAAAGTGTCAGAGCCACAGAAGACACATTCAGCAAAAAGGATTTACTGGAGCCAAATCTGAAGATTAAGACACGCTATTCATCAGAATCTGAACCTGATTAAAAAACACTGAGAAGCCAGTCAAGATTTCTGTATAAGAGAAAATCGAGATGGGTGTTTTGGTCAAGGAAACAAACAGACATTTACACGTTGTATGAGAAGGAAGGAGAGGAGAATGAAATCAGTGAGACCAAACTGAGGGCTATTTTACAACATAGGCTTGAAATACTAACTACCTGGCATGGAAATGATAGTAGAAGGAATAGAAAAAAAAGAGAGACAGAGAGAAGGGAAAGGATCAGAACTGTGAAACTTGAGAAATAAATAAAACCATGAATAAGAAAAGGCATTTTATGAGATGGAGGAAAGAGTATGCATAATTAAGCATAAGGATTTTGAATAAGGACTTCCAACTTAATCTTTCTAGCTAAATCAGTTCATAACTAAATCTGGGGAAAGAGATCACAACCAAAGAAAAATTATGGTTTAAAAACAGATGAAGACTGAATTCTTGCCCTGGATCTTCTCATATTTTGAGAACAGAGCAAAAGAGATTATAAGCAAGTAAATTACCACATTACAAAGGTTTGGGGGTTTTGGTTTTTAGGGTGTTTTTTTACTGCATATAACCTCCCTTGCCTAGTCATGTATATCTTCAAAGTGTGGAAAAGGAACTGAAATGTGAGAAAAATGTAAAGCAGCTACCTATATGTAGTAATTCCCAAAATACACATGCAAGATTGTACCAGTGTATACACTATCTCAACAATCTTTTAAATGAAATATATCAGCTAATCAGCTCTGCAAAATTTTTAACATAATCCAATTAGAAATCACAAACTGAACAAAGTTATTCTGAAAATGACTACTGCATGATGGTTTAAATTTGACATTTTAAAAATACATAAGAAAAAGTATATAAGAAAATTAAAAGATATCTTAGCAACTTTTTTCAAAAATATTTCTCCTACTTCAAAATACATTAATAATTTCAGGGGCACCTGGCTGGCTCAGTCAGTAGTAGAGTGTGTGACTCCATCTGGGGGTTGTAAGTTTGAGCCCCACGTTTGGCACAGAGATTACTTAAAAATTTAAAAATATATTTAAAAAATACATATATATTTATAACTTCAAAAGTATGTCTACTGAACTTCTGCTTCTGACTATGAAGGCATAATAGGGATT